ATGCGATTGCAACACTAATTTTTTTGCCAACTTGAGAGCAATTAATTAAATCCATGCTATCACAATGATATGCCCCATACGATAACATTCGATAAAGGCCAATAGACGAGAGCAGCTTTACTTACTTGATTAAAATTCTTTTTGAAATCAAATTAGACTTGATTTTTGACCTAATTTTGAACTCTTTTAAGTATAGAACAAGGGCAGCCACTGAAGATACCTCTAAAACTTCTCATACGCGTCTCATATCACATCATAACATAGAAATCTTTCAACTATGACAGGCCAATACATAATCATAGCAAGGATTTGAAGGCAACTTACATTAAGAATGTGAGGAATCAAGTTTCGAGATTAAAGATCAAGAATAAAAAATATTATTCTTTTTGTAATATCATTGGAAACATTTTAGACTAGATCTTTCTTGTATCGGGATGAAGATAAACCTTATTATTTGATTATTTTCAATTCAAAGATCAAGTAGTGTAGTTAGACCATGTTTGATGAGGATTAAAATCAAATTTTTAGTAAATTTTGATAAAAGTTGATGAAATTTGTGGTTGAAAAATTGTAGGTCTCATAAATTCATGGTTAAAATTAATTGTTGACCTTGACTTAGATTAAGATCTAGATTTTAATCCCTACCAAATAGAAGCTTAATTTGTGTTACTCATTGAACTTAAATGCTTTGTTGAATTATTTAATTGCTTGTGTGCCAATTAGGCAATTAGTTACTTTTTATATTTTTTGGGAGAGACATAATTGGTTTAGAACTTTACAATTTCAATACACGGAGGTATTAGAAGTTAGAAATAACACATATAGAGTGTACAATCAAATAGATAATCGTCAGATTTAGTGCATTACTTTGCAAATGAATTCAAAATAGAAATATGATCGATTCATACTTAGAATTGATTTAACTTATTTCAGGAGATAATTAAATAAAATTGGATTATCGATGGTCAAAAATATAAAAAAGTATACTAGATTATATAGGTCGAGAACTGAAAATACGATAATAATAGGATGATTCGAAATTTCAACACATAACTCACATATTTAGTTAAGAAAACACCTTTAAATAATTAGTAGATTATTTTAGAAATAAATAAACAAATCAAATTTTATTTATTTATTATTATTATTTTTTTGTTACAATTACATTCGAATTTGATAACAAATTAGTATAATTCAATTTAAAATTTATTTATCGTTTACTCATTCAGCCCTTGTTTGAGCAACATTATTGAAATGAAAATACATTTTTAAATAGTCTATCGAAGGAAAATGTGTGGTTAAAAAAGAAGAAAATGTTTTGGATTTGCGTATAATATTATTTTATTAAAGAATGTATGGTTGAAATAATATCAAATCACTGTTAAAAAATGTATTTTTTTTTCAAATAATGTGACTCAAACAAGACCTATATTATTATTTATTAACTATTCTATATATTTGTAAAATTTTTACCATTCACATAAATCCCAATTAAAAGCCAGTACATGAGTAAATTTAACCAATGCTTACTGAAATTTAAACTTGTTACTACTTACTCACTCATCTTTGACGCGCTATTGAATACTCACTCATCTTTTCATATAGTTACCAATTCACTACTCGTCTCTTCAAATAATTGGACGATTTTTCCAGCAACTTTCTGACAACTTCCGACCACCAAGACAGTCGGATTTTGATATTGTTGGAAATCCCACGATGCCCTCTTCAATTACCAGCCAAAATCTCCCCATAACTCCAAAGGATTCGATCGAAAAATTGTTGCAAAAGTCGCCAAAAAAATCTGAAAATCTGCCAAATTTTCAGATTTTTTGGGCGACTTTTGTGACAATTTTTCAACAACTTTCGACCACCAAAACTGTCGAATTTTGATACCGTTGAAAAATCGACAATGTCATTTTCAATTACCACTCAAATTTCCCCATAACTCCAAAGAATTTAGTCGGAATAAATCCACAAAGTCAGCATCCCGAACTCTGTCCAAATTTTCGCATTTTTGGGATACAGACTTTGTAAGTTTACTCCGACCGAATCTTTTGGAGTTATGGAAAAATTTTGGATAGTAATTGAAAAAGACATTGTGGGTTTTCCAACGGTATCAAAATTTGGAGTTTTGGTGATTGGAAGTTGTCGAAAAATTATCGCAAAAGTCGTCCAAAAAATCTAAAAATCTACTCAGATTTTCAGATTTTTTGGACGACTTTTGCGGCAATTTTCCAATCGAATCACTTGGAGTTATGAGGAGATTTTGGCTGGTAATTGAAAAGGGTATGTGGGCTTTCCAATGATATCAAAATTCGACGATCTTGATGGTCGAAAGTTGTCACAAATGTCGTCCAATTATTTAAAGAGACGAATGATTGATGAATAACTATATAAAAAAATGACTGAATATTCAGTAAGGCAGAAAAGATAAACGATTAAGTTGTAACAAGTTTAAAATTGAGATTGGTTAAATTTACTCCCGCTGCATAGACGTATCAGTAACCCAAGGGACAAGTGGTGAAATATCCTTGTATTAGAGCAAAAATGGGAACAATTTACTGTGAAGAAGAGGGAAAAAGGGGGACGTGATCAGAATCCCCGACCCGTTGCACCAATTTATCTTGTTTTTGAGTGATTTCTTCGAGGGTAACTCAACTTGGAAGGTAGTATGAGATTGTTTGTGTGAAAACGGCATTTATATCTTGATTTCGCACTCGTTTCGATTTGACTGTTGTGAATAATTTAATTTCAACTCAAATCATTAGAATTTGTATATATATTCTATCCCCAAAATTGATGTTTATTGATGGTAGTCTTCCCCTAGCAACAGCTATTTTCTCAACTTCTCTCTTGAATTTTTGACGTGGTTGTTTATGGTTTCCCACTCAAGTGTGATCGGTGAAATCCAGTGGAGGCAGTTTCTCTCACTGGACCCCGGTGGCTTTGCCCCTACCGCTGATTTCATTTTGAAATTATTGATGAATAAGGCAGCAATAAACTATGGCTAAGGGATTTTTTGCTCAAAAAAATTGATTTTTTGACCGTTATTTTACTATTCAAATCGTAATTTTTGATTTCTTCCCTCACATGTGAACTCCACTTTTTTTCTAACGGTCAAAAAATCAATTCTCAAAATTCCTACCAAACGGGCCCTAAGAGCCGATTTGGGCCCAATTTTTTGATCAAAAAAATTGATTTTTTGACCGTTATTTCACTATTTTTTGTGTTATATTTGACTTAAATCATACTGAATTTCTGGGTTTTAAAATTATTTTTTGTCGTTGTTCATTCAAAAAATCTGAAATGTGTTGAATAATCAATTAACCGTTATGCCTTGACAGTGTCTTTGCTCACTTTCAATTGTTGTTCCTGGATTTTATTTTTTATGTTGTAAATATGTTAGGGTTTTGAAGAAAAGTTAACCTAAGAAGCGGATGGCTTCTTCTGACGACGAAGGTGAAGCACTGCCACGCTCCGTATCAGTCTATGAATTTGAGGTTGGTAAGAATGAGCCCGTTTCTTTTGCGGAGTTACCAGTTCAGTGGAAGAATGGTGAGACTCCAGATGGGAAACAAAAACAGATCTTCTTACGTGGGTCCTTCGATAAAGGTCTTCAGAAAATCTATAAACAGGTTATAGCTTGGAAGTTTGATCTTTTGAATGAGAAGCCTGAGATTTCGGTGTTAACGAAAGAGAATTACTGGATTAGGCCTGTGAATCCAAGGAAGGCTTTTGAGAATATAATAAGGACGATCTTGATCACAGTGCACTGCCTACATTTTGTGAAAAGGAATCCTGGAACATCTCACAAAGCTTTGTGGGAGCATCTGGTTAAAGTCTTCAGGTTGTTAATTCAGACTTTTACTACATGTTCAACATCTCTTTGTTTTATACTGCAGTTTTTCACAAATTTGTGCAACTTGTAGCTTGTTCGAGCCCAGGCCTTCTGAAAATGATCTTATAGATCACATTTCCTTAATTGGTGAAGCTGTTAAGAGGGATGCAACATTGGCAAAATCGAAGGTCTGTATTTCTTAAACGATTAAGTTGTAACAAGTTTAAAATTGAGATTGGTTAAATTTACTCCCGCTGCATAGACGTATCAGTAACCCAAGGGACAAGTGGTGAAATATCCTTGTATTAGAGCAAAAATGGGAACAATTTACTGTGAAGAAGAGGGAAAAAGGGGGACGTGATCAGAATCCCCGACCCGTTGCACCAATTTATCTTGTTTTTGAGTGATTTCTTCGAGGGTAACTCAACTTGGAAGGTAGTATGAGATTGTTTGTGTGAAAACGGCATTTATATCTTGATTTCGCACTCGTTTCGATTTGACTGTTGTGAATAATTTAATTTCAACTCAAATCATTAGAATTTGTATATATATTCTATCCCCAAAATTGATGTTTATTGATGGTAGTCTTCCCCTAGCAACAGCTATTTTCTCAACTTCTCTCTTGAATTTTTGACGTGGTTGTTTATGGTTTCCCACTCAAGTGTGATCGGTGAAATCCAGTGGAGGCAGTTTCTCTCACTGGACCCCGGTGGCTTTGCCCCTACCGCTGATTTCATTTTGAAATTATTGATGAATAAGGCAGCAATAAACTATGGCTAAGGGATTTTTTGCTCAAAAAAATTGATTTTTTGACCGTTATTTTACTATTCAAATCGTAATTTTTGATTTCTTCCCTCACATGTGAACTCCACTTTTTTTCTAACGGTCAAAAAATCAATTCTCAAAATTCCTACCAAACGGGCCCTAAGAGCCGATTTGGGCCCAATTTTTTGATCAAAAAAATTGATTTTTTGACCGTTATTTCACTATTTTTTGTGTTATATTTGACTTAAATCATACTGAATTTCTGGGTTTTAAAATTATTTTTTGTCGTTGTTCATTCAAAAAATCTGAAATGTGTTGAATAATCAATTAACCGTTATGCCTTGACAGTGTCTTTGCTCACTTTCAATTGTTGTTCCTGGATTTTATTTTTTATGTTGTAAATATGTTAGGGTTTTGAAGAAAAGTTAACCTAAG